ACTGTAGATAATCATTATAAGAGTTATAATGAGTTGTTATCTAAGTATCATCCTCATCACATGTTGCCTGTCCACAGCTGAGGACTCGACATAGAGTGTACTGCAAGGGCACTGTACCACAGAGCCCTATTACGACTCCTAACCCAATGCCGAGGTATATACTTCCTATATTGTGGTATTGCTCATCATATTACTATCCATTTCGAGATTGACCCGATACAAATAAATTCAAAGAAGTGTTTATGGCTTGGGGGGGGATGATTTACACTCCGTCTTGAGTATACGGATTGGGGTATCGATAGGTGTACGGGGAGGGAACATCAACTCAATACGCTACGATAGTAGTATGATAGACTCCTTGGAGGACCTCAAGATGGTCTTATAATGGGTGGTCTGGTATCACTCCTCAGGAAGATATGGATTATTGATGACCAGGACAACAATCAGAATGGTGCAAGAGTTCTTGATTCTACTCTACCCGACAACAATTCTATACCTGACCCTTTGGGAGGAGCATCTCATACTCATCATCATTGCATCACTGATTATCGATAAGCCCTAAAGATTATGACTAGGCTTTTCTCTTCGTATCCTCTTCTTATTGTTGCTAATGGACTCCATTCGACTCCATCATTATAAGGTATGTAACCCCGGTCTTCAGAGATTTCAAGTGTATTACAACATCTAGGGGTAATTGTATCAAGGTGTCATGTGATTTAGTTTGAGATGAAGGCTTCGATAATCTCTATATCGACACAGGTTTAGTTCACCTAACTATCTCCCTATAACAGTATCTAGACCAACCTAATGCCTGCCATAATCATGAGTGTCTTGTGTTGTGACCGCCACCGCCGGTAGCAGTGTTGGGATAACAGCTCAGGTAGTGCCTTAATTCATCCTTAGCCTGTGCCAATAGGCTCGTGAATACTACGTAAACAAGAACGCAATGAAAGGATTAAATGAGCTACTGCTAGATGATGAGCTCAGTAGATTGCTCATCGGTACTAGTAGTGATAGTTGTAATCCATCAGAAACGATAGTACGTACTATTATTGTACTATTGTGCCTATGTACTACCTCCCATGGCATGAGATAAGGTACATTAGTGATCAATGGATATATACCTCATCCATCAACTTGGTCATGGTCTCCTGCATCTTTATATTAATATTAGCAAACTGTTGACTAACAGATAGCTGAGCATGATTTAACATAACTGCACTCTCAATATCATCCGAGGAGACAGAGAACCTTAAATAATAACAATAATAATACAATAATCATAACCACTAATATTAATATATCACTTTTTCTCTACTGCACTACCAACAATAGCCTGGGCCGCGATAGTAACGGTCTTCATATCAAACTTAGCACGGACCTAGCATGTGATTGATAGCAACAATAGGATGATACATATGTTACTGTTACTACCGATTCAGGAATAGCAGAGAACTCTGTTACAATACGATCCAATTGTTGTAGCATGAATTCATGGATAGATATTATCTGCTTAACCGATAATTGTTTGGTAGGTTGAGGACCCCCCTCAGGTATCTTATAATAATACCGATGATATGCTCTCAGGCATCCTTTCTACATCATATTTCCCACGTTGGACTCTTATAATAGGTACACTAGGTATCTAATAATAATAACATTGTCCTATTAACCAGGATGATAATCAACTATTACTATTATTACTACCTTCCTTTATCTACGTCTTAAATCTCTATCATTAGTAGCTACTATATAGCATCTATGTTGTTGTACTCTTGTAACTAGACAATCATCAGCATAAGTCCCAGTATGATGATCACAAGTAAGTCTAGTAAATCGAGGATCCTTAGCCAATCGTAATGCCAACCTACAATATCATCAACTAGAGGTATAGATGATAGTAGTAGCAATAATACCTCTAACGATTTCCTAACTTCTCCATTTCTGCAATAACACAATCAGTAACACATGGTGCCGCCTTAGCTAATAAACAGTCCGTAAGAGCCTGGATTGGATCTAGCTTATTCTGTATAGAGAAATTGAAGAAGTTGGTATCAACCAAGACCTAATAGTGTTGTTGGGAGTACTACGATTGCTCTCATAGTCATAATGTTATTGTGTATATTCTATTACCTGATATGGTGTTTTGGTATGGTTGTTATTAGCTTCAAAGAACATTGATAGGGCTGATACTCGAGACAATATTCTACAATAATGATATATGAAAGGAATAATAATGGTAAGATGACTATGATATGGCAGTGATGATGATGTATTATTGCGGAGCGAGCGAAGCGAGCGGAGCTTATATTACTGCGCACGAACACTCGTGTGCGTGCGTCCGTCCGTCCGACCGACCGTGCGTGAGCAAAAATTCTGACCCGACCAGGGCGATTCAGAAGACAAACAGGGTATCATTCTGTCCCCCGTTGACTCCTCATCAGCGTAAAAATATAGCGAAAGTGTGGCTGTTGCTTTGCCCGCTTATTTTCACGAAACGGTTCTGCGCACAAGTGATGAACTGTTAGCTCAGCACGTTAGTATTCACGACTCCCAACCGAACGACCTAGGGTCAAATCCCACGATGGTCGGCCACGTCGACGACGCCAGCCAACACCCGACAACCTTTTGTTTTTTAGTCACCCAATTTCCAAAATAATCTCAATAAGAGCCCGCAGAATTCTTGATAGGAAGCTTAGCGAGCTCCGCCCCTTCGCACCGAAGACCTAGTTACATATTATTCTTATTATCATCCCTCAGTTGTTGCTTTTCCATTCCAACAGTCTTCTTCCTGATAAAAGTAGTAGTGATATGATAATACTACAATGTATGAACAACAGTAGTTCAACCACCTCCTCCTCCTCATCATCGTCCAACTTACACTAGACGAGTATCATTAGGATTATCTTCTTCTTCTTACTAACTGCCACCTTACGAGTCTTATTAGCCTTACCCATTGTAATAATAATTATGCTACATAACATGTGTATATAGCGACAACACTACACTATGATGATGATGATAATGGTATATAGTAGAAGAAAAGGTGTTGTAACACAGTGTTATACCAATGGATAGTTGTGATGATATTAGTGATGATGATGATGATGATGATAGGTTAAAGTTAAAATAATAATAAGTATACAGGGAGTTATATTATAAGACATAAGCATTGAATGATAGTGGTGGTATGGTAAGATACTGCTCTCCTCACTGTCTAGTATCATCATCATTATTACTATGGGTCGATCTATGTTGTCGAGGGTCAATGAAATGCATGAATGACCTGCCAAACCTTCCACCACCTCTTTTCATAGCAACACATTTTTCTCCTTCTTTATGTTTAGCATTATTATCACTAGAGAGTGTAGTAAAGCGTTGAAATGAGGATGGACGGAAAGCATCAGGGCTCGATATCGATCTGGATGTGATACATGGGGACTATACTAAACACCAATCACTACCACCACTACCTTCCACGTTCTGCATGATCATGATGATGATGATGATGATGATGATGATGATGATGATGATGATCATTATCTTGCAATGAGAAGAGATCATCTAATGTAGATAATGTAGCTGGTCTATAGATAGGAGAACCTATCCACATTGGTTATATTATTACTAGTACTAGAAATACTTACTATGTGATGTCCATATCTGAGTAGTGATATCAAAGGTATCTTCCACTTCTTTAGTTACTGGTAGTACTTTGAGTAATACCCAAGTAGTATCATCATGTGGTGCATTTGGTATAAGGGATCGTATCTATAATAATAAGAGTAGTACATTGATGATGATGATGATAGTATTAATACAAGTTGATGAACTTGTGTTGGTGTTGGTGTTGATCCAAGTGCGTGTATCTTATCTTTAATAACTGTAGGACCTGATGGATATATACATATTATAATGATGATGATGATGATGATATTAATAGTTGTACTTATGATATCCCATAAACCATCAGAGGCTACCAAAACATAGATAACATCAGCTTCTCTTCTTCTTCCTAGTGTTGTTGCTGTTGATATTGCTGGAGTAGCATGCTGGTCTCTAGTATAGATAAGAACATGATAATCATACGTAATACTATAATAAACCTACGTAGAAGAGTAATGCTGCTGTTGTTCACTACAAGGTGCATTAGTTGCTGTCCAATGCATATTGTCATGATGTTGTGATGATGGTGTCCATATATACCTATCTAATTATATATCTATCATTAATATAGAATTATATTGTTACCATTCGGGTAAACCAATGATACCAGTACATCCTTTCTTCTTGGCAAATTGTACCAGATCCTTATCATAATTATAATCCCTTACTTCAACACCATCAGATCGCATTACACTATCACCTAGACTACGTGTTATCGCTATATTAGTTACTGATACCTGATCATCATCATCATTGCACATGCCATGATAATAACCCTGAGTATTGCTACTACTACTACCCCAACAGCCTTATTCATATGTATTAGACCACCACAACTTAGTATACGATCCCTCTCATCCAATCGTTCACGTACCTACTATGAAGGTAGAGCAGGCTACTTGGAGTACCCCACTACTACTACTACCGTATGAGGTAGAGTAAAGAGGGGAGGAGGAGGAGGAGGAGGATCTGATGATTGATGATGATGATGATGGTCAAGCCCTCCTGGGAAGAGAGCTAATTGAGAATCCCCAACTTGTACAACTGCTATAAGACTAGAAGGTTCATGTACACAGAGTAGAGTAGCAGTACCTACATATGAACAACGATGACGAACATCATCATCATCATTATGAACATCATGTATTACTCCCGCTATTAGATGTATCAATCTGTCCTGATATTAGTGCCTTTTCTTCACATATTCGTAATGTATCTATTATTATGATCATGCAAGATGATATTACTAATAGTACGACTATACTACGAGTAAGAGCATCGATAACTGCTGGTAAAGGAGGATGTTCATCATCATCTTGACCATGATATGGTGGTGGTAGTCCATTAGGATATAGGTTATCAAGGTGTCT